TCGCGTTTTCGATTGAAGCGTACGCCCATAGAAGTTCAGGGACCCTGGCGGATTGGTGCCGATTGGTCAGTACGGATTTTTAAAAAAAATTTTTCTTCTTAAATCTAAAAATTTAAATTTTACTTTTTAATCTTGTCATTTTAATTTTTAAATTACTAAACACCTAAACTTATAAATGTTAATCTTTAAATTTTAAAAATGAAAATCCTAAAATATTAAATATCAAATTTTAAAAAGAAATTAAACTTAACATCATAAACTATAATAAAATATAAAATTCAATAAATTTAAATTTAAACATTATATAATATAAAACTTAAAAAATTTAAACACTAATACTTTAAATATTAAATCTTAAAAAATTAAAATACTAAATCTTAGTATTTTAAACACAAAATTTTAAAAATTTTAAATCTTAACAATATTAATTTTAATTAATTTTAATTAAAACAAATAAGGGACAAAATAAATTTAAAATTATTAAAAGTAAGAACTAAATAACAAATTTATTTTAAAAAATAACAAAATATATTGGATGAGACATGTGTCACGTCAGCTCAGAAGGATAAGGGTCTGTGCCCTTGCATTTGCCTTGTATTCACATGTCGATGTTCTACGGCAGAAACTTACTTTTTAACCCTCCACCTCATTATTTTAATTATTTATTTTATATTATAAAATTTTTAATTTCTTAACTTATTAAATTTATAAATTTTAATTTTTTATTTATTAAAATAAAAAAATTATTATTATTTTATATCGATTGTTAACTTTATTAACTAAAAATAAATTTTTATCAATTAATAATCAATTAACAAAATTAACGAAATATTATAAAATTAATTCTGTTAACTTTATTAGTTGAAAAAAAATTTTGACAATTAACAATCAACTAAAATAATTAACAATCATTTAACAAAATTAACAAAATATTATAAAGTGAGGAGTATTTTTTTTTTATTTTAATAGGTGAAGAACTAAAAATATCATAATATAAAGTAAGAAGCTAAACCTATAAATCTAATAAAATAAAAAATTAAAAATATCATATTATAAGATAATGGGTTAAAACCTCATCGAAAAAGGTGAAAGATTAAAAGTAAATTTTTGTCATGTTCTACTGGCTCAAGAAAATATTTCTTTT